AGAAAATAAAAAAGAAACTGTACTTAAATGACACATTAGACCAGATGCACTTAATTGGTATTTTTAGAACATTTCAACAAAAAGCGGCAGAATATACATTCTTTTCAAGTGTATATGGAACATTTTCCAGAACAGACCACATGTCAGGACACAAAATAAGTCTCATTAAGTTTAATACATTTAATATCATATCGAACATCATCTCCTATCATAATAGTATGGAGCTAGAAATCAATTTCAAGAAAAAAATTGAAAAACACAAACACATGGAGCATAAATAACATGATACTAAATAATCACTAGGTTAACAATGAAATCAAGGGGGGAAAAATCAAAAGATACCTTGAGACAAATGAAAATGAAAATGCAACAACCCCAAATCTATGGGACACAGAGAAAGCAGTTTGGAGAAGGAAATTTATAGCAGTAGAAGACCTACCTCAAGAAACAAAAAAAATCTTAAATTAACAATCTAACCTTACATCAAAAGGCACTAGAACAAGAACAAAGCCCAAAGTGAGAAGTAAAGAAAAAGATCAGGGCAGAAATAAACAAAATAGTCTGAAGAAACAATAGAAAAGATCAATCAAACCAAAAAAGATAAACAAAATTGATTAGCTTTTAGCTAGACTCATCAAGAAAAAAAGAGAGGGGATTCAAATAAATAAGACAGAAATAAGAAGAATAGTGGAAATTGACACCAAAGAATTATAAGAAAATACCATGAACAATTATATACTAATAAGTTGCACAATCAGGAAGAAACTGATAAGTCCTAGAAATATACAAGATTCCAAGACTGAATCAGAAAGAAACAATCTGAACAGACTGATAACTACTAGCAAAATCAAATTAGTAATAAAAAATACTCCCAACAAACAAGAGATGTGGATCAGATGGCTTCACAGGTGAATTTTACATTCAAGGAAGAATTACTACCCATCCTTATCAAACTATTCCAAAAAACTGAGGAGGAGGAAAGTCTCTCAAATTCATTTGACAAGGCCAGCATTACCCTGATACTAAAACCAGAGACATTACAAAAAAAAAAAAAATTATAGGCTAATATTCCTTATGAATATAGATACAAAAATCCTTAAAAGATCATATACTGTACCATGATCAAGTAGGATTTATTCCCAGGATGCAAGGTTGGTTCAATATCTGCAAATCAATTAACATGATACACCCCATAAGGAGAATGAAGGATAAAAGTCATATGATTATATCAATAGATACAGAAAAAGCACTTGACAAAATCCAACACCCATTCATAATGAAAACTCTCAGCAAAGTGGGGATAAATGGAACATATCTCAACATAATAAAGGCCAATATGACAAACCCACAGTGAGCATAATATTCAACAATGAAAACTTGAAAGCTTTTTCTTTAAGATCAAGAACAAGACAAGGATATCCACTTTCACCACTTTTATTCATCATAATATTTGAAGTCCTATCCATAGCAATCAGATAAGAAAAAGAAATAAAAGCCCTCCACATTGAATAGGAAGAAGTAAAACTGTTTTTTTTTTTTGCAGATGACATGATAGCATACATAAAGAACTCTAAAGAGTCCACCAAAAAACTGTTAGAACTGATAAATTCAGTAAAGTAGCATAATACAAAATAAATATTCAGAAATCAGTTGCATCTTACACACCAATAACCTACTATAAGAGAAATAAAACCATGCCATTTACAATTGTATCCAGAAGAATAAAATATGTAAGAATAAATTTAACCAAGGTGGAAAAAGACCTGTACACTTTGAAAATTTTAAGACATTGAAGAAAGAAACTGAAGATACAAATAAATGAAAGTATATACCGTGCTCAAGGATAGGAAGAGTTAACATTATTAAGATGTTTATACTACCCAAAGCAATCCAATCAGTGAAATCCCTATTAAAATACCAATGGCATTTTTCAAAGAACTAGAAGAAATATTTCAAAAATTTATATAGAACCACAAAAAACTCCAAATAGCAAAAACAATCTTCAGAAAGAAGAACCAAGTTGAAAGTCATACATACTATGTGATATCAAACTACACTACAAGGTTATAGTAATCAAAACAGACACATAGATCAATGGAAAATAGCCCAAAATAAACCCATGCTTATATGATCAATTAATCTATAACAAAGGAGGCAAGAAAGACCTACAGATGAACAACAGTCATATGAAAAGATGCTCAACATCACTAATAATCAGGGAAATGCAAATTAAAACCACAATGAGATATCACCTTAAATCATTCGAATAGTTATCAACAAATCAACAAACAAGTGTTAGCAAGGATGTGGAGAAAAAGGAACACTTGTGTACTGTTGGTGGGATTGTAAATTGGTGAAGCCACTGTGGAAAATACTATGGAGGTATCTCAAAAATTAAAAATAGAACTACCATATGTTTCAGCAGTTCCACTCCTGGGTATTTATCCAAAGAACTCCAAAACACTAATTTGAAAAGATGTATCACCTCTATGTTCATTGCAGCATTATTTACAATAGCCAAATATGGAAGCAGCCTAAGTGTCCATTGGATAAAGAAGAGGCAGCACATATGTCCAATGGAATATTGCTCATCCATAAAAAAGAATGAAATCTTACCATTTGTGACAATATGGATGGACCTAGTAGGTATTGAGAAAAGTGAAATAAGTTAGACAGAGAAAGACAAATTACTGTATGATTTCATTTATATGCGAAATCTAAAAAAAATAAAGAGAAACAGAACAAAACAGAAGCAGACTCACAGAGAACAAATTGGTGGTTGCCTGATGGAAGGGGGTTTGGGTGTGTGGGTCAAAAACATGAAAGGGATTAAGAAGTACAAATTAATAGTTACAAAATAGTCACAGAAATGAAAAGTACAGCATGATAGGGAATATAATCAATAATAATAACTGTATGGTGTCAGTGGGTATTAGATTTCAGATGGGGTGACTACCTCATATACCGGACACCTAAAACTAATAATATTTTATGTCAACTGTACTTGGAAAAAACCACCACTCACTAATATGTCCAAATATTGATTTCCAATCAAAGAAATCAGGGCCCCTTGGAGAAGTGGTTGATTCCAGGGCCAGAGTAAGCAAAAGAGAAGAAGAGCCTGGTACATCGTGTGGTGCCAGGAAGTGCTAAGAAAACACGGAGGCAGCATGTCGGGTGTGTGCAGGAGCCAACCTGAAAGAGCCCCAAGCTGGAAATATATCAGCAAAAAATAAATAATGATGGTACTGGATTATAATGTAAAGTATAGAATAAGTGTCCTTGTGTCCATAGTGATATACATATATAAGTAATGGGCAAGAGGAGACAATGTTTCCTTACAGAAGAATTCCAGTTAATACATGTAGAAGGAATAAGGAAAACAGAAAATCCCCACTAGACCACCACAGTAATCACTGAATTGGCTCCACCAATTTAAATCAGTGAAAGAAGTTCAAGGAGAAACAAGATATTTGTGAGTCTTTTTTTTTTAATGTATTTTTTAGAGAGAGGAAGGGAGAGGGAGAGAGAGATAGAAACATTGATGAGAGAGAACATGGATTGGCCACCTCCTGTATGCCCCCACTGGGGATCTGGCCCACAACCTGGGCATGTGTCCTGACTGGGAATTGAACCAGCAACCTCTTGGTGCATGAGTCGATACTCAACCACTGAGCCACACCGGCCGGGCATATTTGTGAGTCTTAACCTATCTCCCTCCACATAAGTTAATTACAAAGAGAAAAATAGTAACTTGACAGTGAAAAAATCTGGCAGACACCACTTGAATCAAATGATCAAGGTGAACCTCACTAATAACAAAATGTTAACTTCATGTCCTCCCTGATATGAGAAGGAAACATCACTGTGGTGGTATTCTTCCCTAAAATGTACAACTTCAATTTAATAATTATTTTCTCTTGTCCAAAACTCTGAGGTAGAAGAGAAACATGCATGCTGGTGTCTACTGGGCATGAAAGTCTAGAACTCGGGGCAGAGGTGTGGACAAGAGAAAAAAGGGGAGAACAGTGAGGGGAAGTCCAAATTTATTCAACTTCAATTTGTGTTTTCAACATTAAGATCACCCCCAAATTCTCCTTTCCCTCCCCCATGGCCTTCCATTTTCACATGAATAGCTGTGAACTGACCTCTTTACAGAGGTAACACATAACACAGGCACATACTCTTACACACCTGAACCCAACCTAGAGAGGGATATGCAGAGGAACACACACACACACACACACACACACACACACACACACAACTCACTCACTCTTAAAGAGGTCTTTAGGTCACAGAGGTCCATAAACATGTGCTCAAACATACACCCATAGGTAACAGAGGTATATAAACATATACACACAACCAGACACATGTAAATATAGCTTCAGAGGCCACAAATGCACACTATTCTTGAGAGGGCGAGGCGTACTTCCAAATGTGTAGTGAAATCTTTTCATCTACCCAGTGGATGACCTTGGAGGCTGGGGGGCAGCAGCCCCTTCTGGTCATTGAGTCTCCCTTTGCCATTCATTCATATAAAACCGATGCCACCCTGGCCGGTTTGGCTCAGCGGTTAGAGCGTCGGCCTGCGGTCCTGAGAGACCCGGGTTCGGTTCCCGCTAAGGGCGCGTACCTCGGTTGCAGTTTGTCCCCGGCCCTGGTCGGTTGTGTGGGTGGCAGCCACTCGATGTGTTCCTTTCACATCGATGTTTCTCTCTCTCTATCTGTTCCTCTCTCTCCCTCCCACTCTACCTGAACAAAAAATGGAAAAATGTCCTCGGGTGAGGATAAAAAACAAACAAACAAACAAACAAACAAAAAAACCGATGCCAAGAGGACATCTAAAGGCTCCACGGATTTGTTATTCCACACTGTACACATTCATATTCCATTCCAGGTGAACCACTGGGCACCGAGAACAACGCCTTCTAACTAGGAGTAAGCTGTCCCTCCACCTGCTATTAAAGATCCACTGCAACAGTCAACTCTCTTACCAAACAGCTTCTGCAGGACTTGTCCGTCATATAAATCTTCAGCCAGGTCTTTCACAATGATTCTTTCTCCCACCAACACATCATTGATCCAGTCAATTAATACCTAGACAAAGAGAGAGAAAATAAGAGAAGAGTCAAGGTATTTTCTTATAGATCAGCTGTTTTATCCTGGACAAATACAATCTAAATGAACTTCAGATTCTGAAAACAGCAGAACTATCCACAGGACTCAGTGTGGGGACAAGTAGCTGCAAGTGTGCACCCCAATGGCCCTGTTAATTCTCAGGTGTAAACCCTTCTAGTGCTGGTGACACTGGTATCCCTGCTAATATCTTCTGCCCCCTACTATTCCTTATCCTAATGGCAAGCAATAGTCACAGTGTTTGGCTACGTGGCTTTGTACTGAGCAAAGCATGAGCTTTGGAGTTGAAAGCCCAGCTTTACCCACTTACTCTGTGGCTCTCTATGTGTACCTCCCTCCCTCCCTCGCTTTGTTGCCTCTCTCCCTCCATCCACCCACCCACTATGCATTAATGCCTCCTATATGTCACCCTCTGTTCTGGATCCTGGGAACAGGAAGATTGAAAAAAAAGAAACAGTCTAGCCCTGGCCAGTTTGGCTCAGCGATTAGAGCATCGGCCTGCGGTCCAGAGAGACCCGGGTTTGGTTCCCGCTAAGGGCATGTACCTCGGTTGCAATTTGTCCCCGGCCCTGATTGGGCCCTGTGGGTGGCAACAACTCGATGTGTCCCTTTCACATTGATGTTTCTCTCTCTCTCTCCCTCCCACTCTATCTGAACAAAAAATGGAAAGATGTCCTTGGGTGAGGATAAAAAAACAAAACAAAACAGTCTAACTCAAAGAAACTCAGCATCTCGTGAAGGAGACAGAGAAATATCATAGGGTGACTACAACGACAGGACCAAATGTAGAGACCATGGCAGCACACAGAGGGGCTGAGCAACAGCACTGGGGTTTCAGAAGGCCCCAGAGGACGTGACCCAACTCTGCCGGAAGGGGACTGCATGACAAAGGCATGGGGGTGGGGAGAGCTGGAAGCAAGCACCGTGTGTATGGGGGCCACCATGAGCAGGTCTGGTGGCCCCGTGTTGCCAGGCAGGGGACAGCCTGAGGTTGAAGAGGCAGCTAGAGCATGGAGACCTCAAATACCGCCCTCAGGAGTGTGGACCTCAGTTGGGAAGCCGCACACTGGTTTTGAGCAGGAAAATGATATATTTAAATTTGCATTTTGATTGGATCACTCTGACATCCAGTGCCTATTTGTCTTGTTTTAAGTGAAACTTGGATAAGCTGAAGAAGAAAAATACAGAACAGGGAATTAGAAGGGGGATGAAATGAACATTTTTTCAGTGGGTGACCACATGCCAAGCCCTGTACCAGGTGTATGATGTGCAATATTTCACTTAACCCCATTTATTCCTGTTTGAATTCCATCTCCTCCACTTAGCTGTAAACATAAACAAACCACCTGGCTTCTCTGAGACTCAATTTTCTCATCTGTAAAATGGGGCTGATACGAATTTCTACTTCATAGGGAGCTTTTGAGGGTCCTTAACAAAGGCAGTAAAAGGAATGTGTGGACTCTAAGATCCTGGCAAATGTGAGCTTATTTGCACTCACTTCTCAGATCCTTATTATCAACATAACTCGCTGGGCATCTGTCATGTCCCACTTGTGTTAAATTTTAGAAGTCCGGTTACTGGACCACGAGCTGCGTGCAGGAAGGGACTGATGTGACTTGATCCTCTCAGCAGGGGCTCTCGTGGTGCCTGCGCAGGGTGGGTGGTCTACAGACACCTGTTGAGTCTGGGGGGCACCTGAAGCCCCTAATTTCTTCTTACCTTCATCAGTTCTTGAAGTTTGGGGTCACTGCGTGAGTTTGGATCCACCATTGTTCGCACTTCATTCTCCTCTTTAAAAAGAAAAGAAGGTCAGTGGGGGAGGTTCCACTGGAAGGCATCAGGCTACCCCAGAGAACAAGAGACCCCGTTACCCAGCATTGTGTCTTCAGGGTCCAGCTCGAAGGGGATCGGGCTGAGGGGCAGGTTGATGGCGTTCATGCCCTCCTCCTGCAGCTCGGACACTGTAAGGAGAAGAAAGCGCAGAGTCACACACAGCCCACTGACGACAGGGGCATGGATCTCGAGCCAACGTGTTTGATTCTGATACCGAGAAACAAAACCTGAGGTTAGGTGAGCACGGCCGGCCGCGCAGCCTGCAGTCAGTGTCCCACCTCTCCTTGCTAAGAGGACTGACTCGTCCCTTTGACCTCACCTCTTCCGGCTGTCAACCTCATTCCCTGTCCTGGGGGGAAGCAGGGAGGTCTCTGCCTCCTCTCAGGAACAATCTTAGAATAAATGAAAGTGGGCACTGCCGTCTTTCTTAGGTCTCTGCCGCTTGCCTCCTGCTGCCTCTCCTTCCAGGGCTTCCTGTGGGTGCACAGTGGGCGCCTGCTGACTCTGAGCGGATGAAGGAGCTCCCCACTCGAAGGCTGCCTTTATGTTGTAAGCCATCTCCCGCCCCAGCTCAACATTTGTGTGACTTCTCTCCGGATCTGGCTTCCCGGAGTCCATTTCTGATCGTCCCAATTCCCTCCTCCACCTCCCTCCAGCCACTGCTCAGCGCCGCCTCTTCCCTGGGCTCTGGCCCTGTCCCTTCAGTGCTAAGGAGCTGTGGCCCTGGGACCCACCTATCCTAGAAGCAATGACTTCAGTCCTCTCACCTCTGTTCAATTCCAGTTCAGATAATTACTTTTTACTAATTAAGCAAACAAAAACCATTTTCTCTGAAAGCGGTGGTCAGCAAAAGGTTCTTAAAGGACCAACATGGCAGCTGCAATCAACCTTAATAGAAGCAATGTTCCATCTTTCCCTTTTATTTCATTTTTTGATTGACTCTGGCCTCACCAACTGCCAGTATATACTTGCAAGAACTCTTAAGTACAAGGCAGCCACTTACAAAGAGTTCTTTCATATTAGCAAACTCACTGCAGTTGGATGGAGAAGGAGATTGCCTAACAAAGGCACTCTACCCCAAAGAGACGCAACTTGCCTTATAAAGCTGGTATTTCGTCCCGTGGCTGTGGGCCCTTGACATTTATATGGGATATCAGCCAGTCACCGTCTTGAATCTCCGAATTCACAGACACCCACTACTCTATCAAAGTCTCCCCCATAAAACATAATGAACAATATAAGCGATACCTTAAAGACTAACATGATTCTATAGGTATAGGACTGTAATTGCCTTCTAGACAAGAACAATAGTTTCCTTAGACTTCTATAATTTCTTCTAATATCCCTCCTAGGATGGGCAGTTTGCTTATTTTCCAGGCTGTTTCTCACAAAGAAGCAAGATTTCCATCGCTTAACAAGCACTGCTGTGCCAGAATGGGCAGTGGGAATAGTCACGTGTCAATGTGGGCGAGAGGCTGGGCTTACTGGACAGGACATGACGGGCTCCTGGCCAGAACCTTCTCTACCTGGGGGTCAGCACATTCTCCTCCAGGTCTGTGCTGTCCCATGGTACGGGTTAGCCACATTCGGCTCTTTCAATTCAAATGAAGTAGAAATTTAGTTTCTCAGTTGTACCTATCACATTTGAAATGCTCGATGGCCCACATGTATTATAGCCGGTGATGACCACCCTGGATAGCACGGATGTAGAAGATTTCTATCCATCACAGGAATGGATGACACGGTCCTAGGGGATCCCATATGTCTAATGCTGATGTCTGCATTTAAATCTCCAGCCTAGATCTGACCCTGCATTACAGGCTAATTTGATGTCTTCTCTTTTGTCTATTAACAGAGGTCTCAAATGTATACAGAGAACAGAACACTGATTTTCAATACACTCACTCCCTTCATAACACTGATCCAAGACTGTTCTTTGCCTGTTCTTACCCTCCTCAGTAAATGGCTCCATCATGTATACAACGGTTTAAGCCAAAATCCAAAACTTGGCTCCAATATACTGGCAAGTTTTGTGGGCTCCACCTCCAAACCAGGACCCAATTCCAGCTGCTTCCTACCATCACCACGCCATTCTCCTGGTTCAGGCCATTGTTATTTTTCACCTGGATAACCAGAACCACCACCTAAACTGGTCTATGGCTTTCTGACCACCCCCATCCTCGCTACTTTCAATAACACAGTCAGAATGATATACAGGGTGTCTATAGATTCTATTACATTTAGAAAATAAAATGTATTTTAATAAACACTGGCTTTACAATTATTCAAAGTTGTGTATACATTTTTGGGGATGCATTATATAAAGATATAAATAGGGTCATGCATTCCCTTGCTTAAAACTTCCTGTGGTTTTCTGTCATACTCAAAATAAAACCCGAACTCCTAAGACCTATAAGAGCCTCTGATTAGCCCCCTGTCTCCCTCTCGTGTTTTATTTTCTTCAAGCACTCTGAAATCATTATTATATATAGGTCTGGTTATCTATCTCTCCCCACCAGAATGTAAGCTGTGGAAAGATAGGCACTTTTTCTCTCTTGCCCACTATTAGATCCCCAAAGATGAGCCAGACTTCCTAGATTCAAATCCAGGATCACTTACTAGCTATGTGATCTTGGGCAAATTCATCAACTTCTTATACCTCAGTTTCCTTATCTGTAAATTGGGAATGATAATAATATTGCCTACCTTCTAGGGTTGTTGAGAAGATTAAATGAGTTAATACATGTAACACGTTTAGAAGAATCCCTGGTACCTGGTAAGATCTATGTAAACATATGCTATTATTATTACTTAAAACAATACTCCATGCACAGTAAGCACTCAAGAACTACTTGTTGAATAAATTGATAATCAAAACTTAATTAAGACCACCCTTCAATTGCACAGGTTATGTGTTGAAGCACAGTTTGCCAAAGCAGTATCTAGGATGCAAAGGATTCCTGCTTGTCCTCAGGAACAAATATAGATATTTTGGCCTGACACTGTGTGCGCAGACAAGTGTGCCTGCGTGTGTGTGTACCCGCGCGTGCGCACATGTGTGCAAGTTTCTGGGGCAGCATTTCCAGCTTACATTTGGGGAGGAGAGAAAAGCCGCATGTGTCCCAAGACGGTTGTCCAGCCAGAGCTGATTTGTGCATACAGAGATGTTTACACCTCTAACGCATGACCAGAGATATAACATTACCAGCCAGGACTCCTAAAGGTCAGTCTGAAAGGGATCACTTTTATGTGGAGATCATTGTTAAAAATGTTTTCAGATTAAAAAAAAAAATCCCCAGTCAAAAACACTCCCCTCTGCTCTGCCTCTTTTATTCACTCACAGAGACAAAACAAACCCAAGAAGAAAGGCTGAGATATGTTTGCAATTGGAAATGTTTTTTTCAGGAAATGATTTGGTACAGGAACATCATTCCCATCCCATTAACTGCTGACTCGGAGCCAACTGTTTGTAAAAGTGAATATGCAAACTGCCCGGTTCAGGCCTGGCCCCCACCCCACGGGCTGCATTAGTGGCCAATTTCTCAAAACAGCCCGCCTGCCTCGGAGGCTTCATTTCTGTGAAAGCGACGCAGGACCCGGCGGCAGCCCTCCAGCCCTGCGCTCTGGAGGAGAAAGAGCTGCAGTTGCATTTTCTCGGCATAGCGTATGAATATGATGTTTATCCCCCGAACCTCCTCTAACAGTCTAAAACTAGGTCTGAATGTGCAGCCCTCTGTGTCTCGAGGCAGCATTAGTCATAACTTAATAAACAGATTAAATGCCCGGCTGAAGGTCGGCCGGGGAGAGCGGGGTGACCGCCTCCACTCCCGAAGCGCTCACCACGGGAAACGGGGCTCTGGCTTTTCTGGGAAATGAAGCTTGACTCTGGGTCCGGCTGCACAGCAGAAAAAGTACGTGGATGGGCTTTGGAGTGTTCACGAGCTGGATTTGAATCCTACTTCTATTTTTATCAGCGGTGGGACCTCATGCAAGTGGCTTAACCTCCCTGAAATCTGGTATAAAATAATTCACTCTGACAAAGGGTGTGGCTGACACTGCTGGTTTCCTCCCCAGTTGTTATTTTATTCTTTTTCCCTGTTGAAAGAACCCTCATTTTGTCCCAGCACACCCCTCCCTCCGATGCCTCTAAGGTAAGATCCTGACTGGATTAGACTAATCATGATACTCTTGATTCCCTTAGCAGTGTTTGGCTCAAGCATTGCCATGTGATACAATTCTGGTAAATGAGCTGTGAGAGGAAGTTTCTAGAAGTTCTAGAATTTTTTCCCTCCACTTTAAAGAGAGGCCCAAGGAAGAGAAGAGAGCTTCTCTTTCTAACCATGATGGCATCAGGATGTTGTGCTGGATCTGCTGCAGCCATTTTGTTGCCATGAGGTGAGTCAGCCCAAAGAAAAAGCTCATAAGTTAAAGTCAGCAGAGAAGAAAGATAGAAAGAAATGGGGTTTGTTGATACAATTAAGCCACTACCCTAGCTTTATGTCTTGTTATAAGAGCTATTATAAATTCCCTTATTGTTTAGGCCAGTGGAGTTGGCGTTTTCTGGGGCTTGGATCCTAAACTCCCTAGTTGATATATGAGACACCAGGATTGTAAAGTGGATGGATGAATACAGTGGGTGTGTAGTGAATGATAATTTTCCTTTCCTTTTTTCCCATGAGAAACAGAGTAGCTGTAGGCATCTCTTACACTCCAGAAATACCTACAGGGACTCAAAGAACACCAGGCAGAAAACAAGGACGAAGAGAAGAATGGACAGGGGTTTCTAAGAGTCTGAAAGGGTCCATTTATGCAAGGCCAGTAATTTCATCCATTCAACCAATAAACATTACTGGGCACCCTTGTCTGAAGCAGACCCTATGCCAGCAAGGGGATAAGGTTGTGGGGATTTGACATGGGTCTGCCTCAATCTGCTCACAGGTGGGAGAGGCAGGCACAGAAACAGAGCAGACAGCACAGTGCCCTCAGGGGTGAGAGACATGTAACAAGAGGGCTTTGGGAGTTCAGGTAAGGCTCACTTTGGATGGGGAAGACCAGGAAGGATTCCCAGAAAGGGCGACATTTGAGCTGAACTTGGAAAAATGTCAATTTTCATCTGACACGGGTGCCC